TGATAAGTAAACTTTTTCCCCCTTATCTTGCAACATATCAACAGTATACTGTTAAATAATTTTTTTTTTTCACGCATTTTTTTCTCCAAAGGCATTTTTAAACTGAAGTATACATTTTTTGTTTCGCTGTAGCAATCACTGTGCTTAATAGCATTGCAATGAATAAACACTATTGCTGTGCTGTCATCGATTAACGTAATCATGAAATGCTTGATTAATAAAAAATAAAAAAAATACCCTGGAAACTACAGAAAAATCGACAACCAGATGCTATTTTTAAACACCATGGAAAAATCAAGCACTCTGCGATGCCATCTTGGTTACCTTAATCGGAAACCCCTTGTCAGCTAGCATGCATCTGTATAGCAATGCAGAGGTCATAGGGTTTGTTTAATTTTTATCAACTCGTCGCGTCTGTAGTTCAATTTACATTAGTTTCCCTTCCATTTCGATTTTTTCTCACCGGCGTTTGAGCGATTGAGTATTAAAAACTGCGAATAGCCATTATGTAGCAAAATTTTCATAAAACGGGTATTATCTCTGTTCGTGTTTTCTGGTTGGTCGAAGAGATTAATTAAAATTAATTAGCTCCCACAGTTTTTGTAAGTTTGTCTTGAAATTTTCACACTATTTTAACGACATGTCTACCAACAAAAGGACGTATGGGCTTATTTTTAAAGCTTTGCATTCTCAGACAATGACATTCCGATTTCGATGTGAGAAATGCTGACTGGGATTGAATATATGGCACACATCCTGCTTGACAACTTTGTAATATGAAAACAAAACATACTATATATATGCCTGGGCACCCATTTGTTAATAAATAACTAATAAATGTTGTGTGTAAGTTTCACCTGAAATAAACAAGAATTGTGAGAGCTATCTAGATTTGAACTTCCTTGGTAAACTGAAAAACAATACAATACATCTACATCAGTTTTCCCAACAAACGTTGCAATACAATTAATTGAAGTCAAGATATTTTTATATCTGATAAATTTTACTGCATTGTATTTTATGTTTTTGTCAAACAAAGTTTGAAATGTAACAGCATAAGAAAGAAAAAAAATGGAAAGACTTGTTATAGCCAGTCACTAAATATAATGTCATCTATGGATGTAACTGTAACATTATTTTGTGTACATTGTACAAGTTTTAGTGCCCATGTCACTGATCACTGTCAGTTCATATAACGTCAGGGAAAACATTTTTTTGTAAATTTATAAAGTAATCAAAGTATGTTGAAATTAATAAATCAATAATGAGAAAAAAAATTCTACAATGGCATTTCGACACTAAAGTCAGCGATTTTTCATTGCAATATACTTTGTGAGTAACGCTACTATCACTGTAACATTGTCAGCTGATGGCATAACAATGAATGGGTATTCACCGCTGCTATTGCGGTCATTGGTATCTGACTTTTTGGTACAAAATACACAAATTTAGAATGTTTTGTTAATTAAAACGATTCATTGATGATTATCTTAAACATCACATCAAAATTGCCAACGAGATGTTGTTTTTAAACATCGCGAGAAAAACATGCACTCTGCGCCCCCATATTTGTTACCTTGAACAGAACCTCTCTGTAACCCAGCATGCATCGGTCGCAATGTCACATCGTGCATTATGATGCCTTAGGGCAGCGTTCTTCGGTATTAAGGCACCCTCTGAATGAGGTATTTTCAGAGGTCAGGGTTCGTTTTTTCTTGACCCGTCTCATCAGCAGTTGAATTATTTACACTTTTCTTTCCAATGTGACTTAACTTCACTTGTTTTTTAGTCCCCGTTCAATTTTAAATATTCATTATCGATCAT